CTCCTCCTCCTCCTCCTCCTCCTCCTCCTCCTCCTCCTCCTCCTCCTCCTCCTCTTCTTCTTCTTCTGGGGGGGGGTAGCACGAAGGTTTATTGGGGCATCCTAGTAAAGACGCTGGGGCTTGCCTATGGTGCTCTTGATATACAAAGCCCGGACATTTTGCCAGTTCTTCCTGAGCAAGGACACCAAGAAATTGACAGCCAAGTGGATGTTGTAGACCAGCTCGTTGTCAGTCATCTTCACGTGGCCGACAGCGACAGCCAGACATAGCACCTTCTTCATCTGGAACTTGATCGTGGACTTCACCTCGTCCACTTTGGCCACCATGTTTTCATTGTGTGTCAGCAGGGAAGGGAACTTGCCAGCCTTGTTCAGGCCTGGGCCCAGGATACGCGGGATCTGCTTGATCAGAGACTCAGAGGCCAGAAAGGCGGCATACTTCTTGGCCAGCTTTTTGACCAACTTCTTGTTCTTATTGAGCTTCTTCAGTGCCTCGATGTCCATGAGGGGGATATCCATGGCCTTGGCCTCATCGCAGTGCTGCTGGTCCCCCAGGACTCACACCAAGAACTTGGGGCGAGGGGTGGACTTGAGCCTGACAGTGCCCGAGAAACGCTTGTCCTTCTGCGGGTCGTAGTTCTTCAGGCTGATCTTCAGCTCCACCGTTTCCAGAAACTTGCGGCGTTTGCGCTGGTTCCCGTGCAGGACCTCTCGCACCACCTTGTACAGGGTGTCGCGAGAGACTTTGCTGCTTATGGTTGCCCAGGCTGCGGGAACAGGAAGGAAGAGCCTTCTCTTCTTGAGCCTGGATTTCTCCTCCTATTTATTCTCTCTGTCTGCCAGCCCCACCTGTCCTTTCTCTGCCTAACTATTGGCCGTTCAGTTTTTTATTAGATCAATCAGTTGCCCTAGGCAAGCAAAGTGAAACAAATACAACACATCCCTATATAATTAAGCAAATGCAGCATAAACAAAAGCAGCACACCTTTGCACAGTTAGGGTGATATTCTGCAGCATAAGCAAACATAACCCATCATTGCCTACTTAAACCATTTTCTCTGTGTCTCTCTGTCTTTCTCTCTCTGACTCTCCGGCTCTCTCCCCTGCTTCATCTTTGCATCGTGTGAATCTAGGGTCTCTCCCAGGGCAAGGATTCCTTGAGCCCAGAGTTGTTCTTGCTGACCTATATCACTTTTTGTGAACCAAGAAGGGTCCTAGAGGAGACTGATGCGCTAGAGGCTTCAGGACTCAGCTACCTCGAGACTAGCAGCCAGGAGTCAGTCCTTTTTCATCCAATTATTGTTCTTCCCAAACTTGTCTTTTGAAACTCTGCCCGGTGCCGTGCACAGAGTTAAATGTAAGAACAAATGAGGTACACAGACTCTCGGTGCAATTTTCTTAGGCCAAAATTACAGTGTAGACTTGTACAAATAGCTGTGGTAACACAGTCAAAAAGATTAGCCTTGCCCAAAGTACAGAGGCTCCATAGAAGTTCCGGGTTACAAACCAGAGACACGACAGATATGAGCAAGGGTATGCCAGGAAGACATAGATGTACGGAGGTATAAAAAGGGGGCCTACACAATAGGAGGATGAAAGAGGATAAAAGCCATGTGACAGAGAAGTGTGAGGTTGGTAGGAGGTCAGCTTTGATCATGAGCCAAAGAGCTAGTCGGCAAGGTCCCCGTGGAGTATGTACCGAGCAATCTACCCTCCAGCACTTGGGGCGTTAGGAAGCACTTCCCACTGCCCTCATTGGCCAACACAGTCAGGATGACAAAAGACTAGTGAGGAGCAGGCTCAAGTGCCCCTCCTCATTTTGTCTTAGCAAAAACCGAACATCAGTGACCACACCTCTACATGGCCACTGTGACGTCCCAAATGGTCTGTTCTGGTCCGGGTGTTTGTTCCCTCTGTAGACTTGAGCTCTGTAGCAATCACCAGGAGACTTTGGGGACTTTCCTCTGAGCTGAAAACACTTGAGTATTGCCTAGTGCCAGCGCTTGCCAGGACTCAAAGTCTGGAGCCATCCATAAACTAGGTCCAGCCACATAACTGCTATGAGCCCCCGCTCCCTTTAAGCTAACAAAAACCATGCTTGTCTCCCAGCCAAAAAGAAAAGGAGGAAAAGTCCCTATCGTCATTCAACTGCGCCAACTTCCGATTTTTTTCCTAGTCTGCTACCGTTTCTTCTTCATTGTGTGCTTTTGGTTTCCTAGCAGCTGCCAACACTCCCTGCAACTTGAGTAGCAGAGCTGAACAGTCGTTGCCCAGGTGTATGCCAGCCTCAAAGCATAGGCGTAGGAGGGCACAAGAAGAGGGCATAGCAGGACTCCACTCCTGCCCAAGAGCCAGAGGCATTTACGAGGCTGGCCTGGAGAACAAGCCCGTGGCCTTCTCTAAATGACCACTTCAAACCTTAGGTGGGGTCCTTGCAAGCCCATGCTTCAGAGTTCACAAAGGAAGCCGCTTGGCATGAATAGCTGTACTTCATGTGCGTGCTTGTGGAGGTCAGAAGCTGACGTAAGGCGTCTTCCTCGGTTGCTTTCCATTTTATATTTTGAGGCAGTCCCCCACTAAACCCGGGGCTCACCAGTTTGGCTGAGCTAGCTGGCCAGTGAGTTCTAGGGATCCACTTAGCTCTACCTCCCCATCCCTAGGATTAGAGGTGATACCACCATGCCTGGTTCTTTACACAAATGCCAGACGTCTAAACTCAGGACCTTGCTTGCACAGCAAGTATCATATTGACTGAGCCATATCCCTAGTTCTGCATTGTGTTAAGTGCTGGAGATGCATCTGGGGCCTTATCTATGCAAAGCACACATTCTACCTCTGAGCTCTACTCCAGCCCACCGCTCCTTTTTATGAATGAATTCGACAGCCTTTATTACACAAAATGGGCATGTTTGTGTGTCTACTCCTCCCGCTAGCTGTGAAGTATGCTGGGACCTCTCTGAAGAGCTCCTACCACACCGTTGATTCTATACACATCTTTTGTTTGCATTTAATAGTGAGTAGGAAAGACACGAAGATAAAATGCTATTTCGGGCACCTGGGGCGGAGGGTTCTGGGGATCTCAGTCATGCCACAGCTCCCTGGGTCAGCCCCAATAGGACCAGGGTACATGAAAGCAGTTAGACAGAGGCACAGCGAGGCCCGCCAGAGCCACAGGGGGCTCCGGCGCTAAGACACAGTGTGAAGGTCATCTTGAGAGAGAAGGTCCAACCAATGTCTCGGCATGAAGAGGGAGGGGTGTAGTCGGACTTTTCTTTGGGCCTTCATCTCACCAATAACAACATGGAAACTTATTAATTATGAAAGCTGGACCGCTACTTTAGGCTTGTCCCACTGGCTCTTATACCTTAACCTGCTTCTATTAATCTATGTTTTACCATGTGGCTTTTACCTGTCTTTCATTCTGTGTGTCCAACGGCCTCTGAGTCCCAGTGGTATCTCCTGTGCACCTCAATTATCCCTCCTCCTCTTCCTCCCTCTGCCTGGAAGGCCCGCCTATAGCTTCTGCCTTGCTGTTGGCCATTCAGCTTTTTATTACACCAATCACAGCAATATACCTTCACAGTGTCCAAATATCCCACAACAGAGGGGAGACTCAAACTAGCACAAAGTTAGGGCTGACAGTCAATGCTAAGCAGATGGTACTGGGATCCTCCTGGCCTGGAAGGCAATGTGCTACTAGTGAGTCAGAGGATACTCTCCTCTTGGCCCCTTTTACTGTGTATTATTCCAGACATACTCTGTTCCTTCTTGATACAGCTTTAAAAACAGTGTTTATGCAATGGAAACCATTAGGTTGTTAGTCTGAACAAGGATGGAGATGAAGGACATGAGATTCTTAATTCTCTCTCTCTCTCTCTCTCTCTCTCTCTCTCTCTCTCTCTCTCTCTCTCTCACACACACACACACACACACACACACACACACACACANGAGGAGGCGGAAACCTTTTTTTTTTCCTATTCTCAATAAAAAAAAAGAAAAAAAGAAGAAGTCTAGAGTATGCACACATTAAGAAACCAAACCTAAAAATTCATGGGACAGAAGGAAGTTATGTAAAATCTGTGAATGAAATTATAACTGAGAATTTACAAAACCTAGAGAAAGAAATAGACATCCACACACAGGAACGCTTTACAATCCCAAATAGACATGATCGGAGAAGAACCACCTCACAGTATACCACAGTCAGGATGTCCAAAAAACAAAGAAAAGAAAAACGACTAAAAGCTGTAAGGGGAAAACACCAGTTAACACGCAAAGCAGAAATGTCAGAATAAGATCAGATCTGTAATAAACAACCGAAACAGTCAAGAAAACATGGGATGATTTATTTTGTTCCTTGAAAGTAAATAATTGTTATTCTAGATTGTTATACCCAGCAAAATCATGTATGAAAATCAAAGGAGAAAGAAAAGTATTTAAAGAAAACCACAAGTTAAGCAATGTGTCGCATCTAGGACAACGTTAGCAAGCTCTTTTAGAAATACAAAAAGGGTTTGCATGTGAGAACAGGGGAAGAGACAGGTGAAGAAAGCAATAGATGAACACAGGAGAACTAAGAAAGAATTGATTGTGTCTCAAGGAGCAAGCTACCAAGCATCCAACAAGACCAGAAAGGGGTGGGGTTGCCAGTTATCCAACTAACAAGAACCAACAGCAGATTCATAAACAATAGTAAACATTTTTAATTATAAGCTAGAACACAAACGGCCTTAATTTACCAATTAAGAGGCTCTGACTAGTAAACTGAATTAAAAATGCCATCGAAGTATCTGCTGTCTCCAAGAAGCTAAGACATCCACAAGCTGAGGGTCAAAGGTTGAAAAAATCAAACCACTAAACTGAGAACAAGGACGCACAGTAACGCTCATCTTTAGTAAACTAGACTTTAAGACAAAATTAGTCAGAAAAGATTAAACAGAATGATTGCATATTAACAAGAGAAACAACTTCTGAAGAGGACATAATATTATAAATGTTTATGTCCTGAACTTGGGAGCACCCAAGTTTTAAATAGTATAAAAGTCATAAAAGACCACCTAGGTCCAGTCACAATAATGAAAGATTTCATGACTGACCCCATGCTATTAATTACTTCTCTCATGTGATAAAACACCATGACTACAGCAACTTATGGAAGGAGCTTATTTTGGCTTATGGTTCCAGGGAGTTAGGAGTTCATTGTGGATTGGAAGCATGGCAGCTTGCAGCAAGCGTGGCGGAAGGAGCAGGAAACTGAGATCGTAAATCTCAGCCTTGGACTAAGATAAGGTAGGATGAAGACAGATGAATTTTAATACTGACAACTTAAATAGGATTGGTGGGTGGAACAAAACTAGGAGAAGTAGCGTGAGTGCCACATGCCTAAGAGGATGGGGGAAAAGAAACAGAAATCTTTGTCACCATTGTTTTCAGGCTGACTCTAGCGAGCTCTTCCTACGTGTAACTGCCCTCCCTCTCCCTCACACAGTCTCTCTCTGCTTTATGTTCATTGTGTGCACCATTGGAACATCTTAATTATTGACCTTGAACCATCCTTTGATGTTTTATATGTTCTCTGTTAATGAGAAATAATAAAATCTAAGATTAATGGCACAGCCATTTAAAATGATAATGTCACACAAGTCTTACTAGCTAAAGACAACCTCTATCTGGAGGAAAAGGACGGGGAACTCTAGAACAAGAATTTCAGTTGGTTTGAATAATCGTTGGCAAGAAGAAAGAATCAGATTCACTCAGACTACAT